TGTTCTGAAGACGATGAAGAAGCTCATTGACATCGTCATCAACTATGCAGATAGGTTGGTCGAGTGAATGATTGATTGTTTGTTTGATTGATTGATTGATTGATTGATTGATTGATTGATTGATTGAGTGAGTGAGTGAGTGAGTGAGTGAGTGAGTGAGTGAGTGAGTGAGTGAGTGAGCGGGCGAATGAGTGAATAATTGAGTGATTGATTGATGATTGAAATTGAAATAAACTAAACAACAACCAGTGATCGGCGAGTGCTGAGTGAGCCATTCCTGGTGCTGCCCTCCAGGAGGGAGCTGCCCGACTACTACGCCGTCATCAAGAAACCCATGGATTTCAAGAGGATCAAGGTTCGTAGTCTGTCTGTCTGTCTGTCTGTCTGTCTCTTTGTTTGCTGCCTAAAACACACGCACACACATGCACACACACACACGACATACAACACATATACACACACACACACAACACACACACACACAGCAAAGGATATCATCAGGGGCTTACTCCAGCGTCGATGATCTGGAGGCAGACGTCCTACTGCTGTGCAAGAACGCGCAGACGTACAACGTGGAGGGCTCCCTCATCTACGAGGACTCCATCGTCCTCCAATCCGTCTTCACCAGCGCCAGGGAGCGGCTGGATCGATCCGCTCTTCTCGGGAATTCCAATCACGGGGGCGGTCCTGTCGGGGGTGGTGGTGAAGTCGGGAGTGGGGAGAACAGTGGCATGGGTGGTAACGTCGGTGGTATGAGTAGTATGGCCGGTGCTGGCAACATGGGTGGGGCTTGTAATATGGCGGGTGTTGGTAATATGGGGAGTGCTGGTCGCATGGGGTGCATGAGCAACGTGGGGAGTGTGAGCAACATGAGTGGCCTCATGAGTGGCAGGGATAGTACCAGTCAGATGGTGAGTTGGGGAGTTTCGTCGGCTCTTTGTTTTTTGCGCTGTTTTAAATTTCCACCAGCATAAATTTATGTACAGACTTAAATGAATAGCAAATTATTCTGATCTTTGACCGTAACTGAACAGCCAATCACAACCGTCCATTCAAAAGCAATCATCAGATCGCAACTAAATAGCCATTTACAACCACTGGATCACAACCAACCAATCACAATCAACCACAACCAATCCGACTCAACCAATCACAACTAACCAATCACAGCCAACCAATCACAGCCAACCAATCATAGCCAACCTATTGCAACTATCTAATTACAATCAACCAATCACAACCAACCGATCAACAGAGTTCAGGATCATTCCAAGGACAAAGATGTTCCAACTCTGCCACTCCACGGGCCTCGGACGATGATGACGATGAGGCGAACGACTTCGACAATGACGTATCCATGACGTCATCATCCTCCATGATGATGATGTCGCAGATGAGGGGCATGATGAGGAGGGGGGAGGATGATTATGATGACGAGGAGGGGGCTGAGGAGGATAACTAATGATGAAGATGATGGTGATAATGATGACGATAATGATAATGATGACGACGATGATAATATTTACAATAAATTAAGAGATAAAAAGATTGTACATCGGGCGATCCAATAAACAATATTACTCCATGTATATTGTATTTAGTATTGTACGTCTCATAGACGGTACCGCCATTAAACACCTGTGGGCGTATTCTTATTTACAACTGCGTTCATACAGGTGCACACAAAGCGCATACACACACACATACACACTGAGACATGCATACACACACAGGCATACACACACACACACACATACACACACACGAACGCACGCAGACTTACACACATAATCGCGCACACACGCACGCACATCTTGGCATCCGCACAGCTACAGACGTACGTTGTACTTTAAGTCGAGTAATAATGTTGAATTTATTTTTCCCATCGAAAACATTGTCGCGTTAGTGGTAGTTGCAGTTGGTGTGGTGTGGTGTGTTAGGAGCAGTTGTGGCTACCGCATGACATGCTGTTGATGTCGTTCTTAACGCGTCTGTACGTGCGTTCATTTTTCATTCATTTTTTGTTTTTTTTGTGTGTCTGTCTGTTTGTTTGTTTTTCGTTCTTTTTTTTCTAGAAGTTTAAACAAATTTTATTTTTTGAATATTTAAGAAAATTTATTTTCGAAAATGTTAAATAAAACTAATAATTCATTTTATGTTTTTGCATACGCTGTACATATCCACCGTGATTACGTCAAATAGTCATTCTAGGTTTTACTTAGGTTTGGTTGTTGAGTTTTTGTTGAATGATTGTTGGGAGGCTGTTGAATTGTTGTTGGGTGGTTGTTGAGTTTTTGTTGAATGGTTGTTGGGGGGTTCTTAAGATAAATGTTTTCAAGATAACAATAATGTTTTGTCTTTGTTGACGGTGGCATACGATGCAGTGAATGACGTGTGATTGTGGTTTCAAATTTGATGTGTCAGAGGAATTGGTTAATTTGTGGCTGTTATAAATAAATATATATTTATATAAATAATACTTTTAGACTATTTTATTGTTAAAAAGATTATTGTTTTCTAATTGTTAAATTATTATAGGTCTGACATTATGATCCCACTGATAGTGAGGTGATTTCTATCTGCTTGTCAATTAAAACCAAAATCAATGAAAGAAAAACTGAATGACTGTAATAGATTTTGTCGGCAAAATCATCTAGCATAGCGACCTAAACCGAAGTTACAGTAAAGTTAAAAAGCAGAAATACTCACGATATTACGTTTTAAAAATTAATCGTTTTTTGAAGCTCTCCATTAAATTATGACATGGCGTAATTATAAGTCATTCTTCCCTGTCGGTACAAGTTTCGGAAAAACCTGCAGTTTATTGTAATAGTTTATGATATTCATCCAAACGTGGAACAAATGTTGGTGTTTGTTCGATGGGCTCCGAGAAAAAATTTCGTTTCGATTGCTCGTTTCGATGCACATCTTAATTCAATTTCTATGTTGAAGATTAATGTCAGTCAATCTTTGCGATATTAATCACCTCGCAATCTGTTTGTTACGATATTTAAAAAAAATTGCCAGCATGATAGCCACAATTATTTTCCTCCAAATTACAAACATCTGTTGCTGCGTCATTGTATTAATACCTCCATTTTATAGCTAGTAGTGTAATCTACCTACGTGTCACATGCATACATATCTGGGATTGATATGAAACACCAGCAGGTGTATGTGCGCTTTCTGACAACTTCGAAGTGTTCGTCACGGTGCTCACCATCTCAAATGTTTCCAGCGCTTTCCTCTGACAACTTGATCATCAAAACGCAAAACGATTTCTAAATTTACATTTTAAAATTTTACTTTTGCCATCCCTGTATCAAATTTGTTGATAAATAAAATTTCGATTCGTTTTGTAAATCAAGCTATTACACAAACACACAAACATTACGAATGTAGGGAGTTACAGTGTATGTTATAATACACAGTTGGTCTACATGGAACTAATCAATCAATTAATCAATCAATCATCGTTTAGCGTCCAGAGATCCAGTTCTCCTAAGGTAGGACGTTGTTTTCTTTGCCATCAATTTTTTGCGCCAAATTAGACGATCAGTTGTATCTATTTCATTTAAATTTAGAGCTTTCATGTCTTGCTCGATTGTTTGCGACCAGGACTTCTTTGGACGGCCTTTGGAACGTGTGCCAAGTACTTCAACATCTGCAAGAGAAGTTATGGCACTGTTTCCACTTTGTTTGACATGACCAAACCACCGCAGACGGTGTTTCCGGCATTCGTCATTTATATCATCTAAACCAGCACGGCGCAGGATTTCCGTAGATTTGACTAATTCGTTACATCCATCCGAGCATTTTCATGTCGGTTCGTTGAAGTTGTTGTTCCAGTTTGGTTGTCATTGGCCATATTTCTGCACCATATAACAACACCGGACGTATCACAGATTTATAAAGTCTTGATCGTAGTGGTAGTGGGATGTCACGCCGCATCAATATAGAGGCAAGGAGATGCTATTTATTCCAGGCTGCACGTAATGCGTGCTCGAACGGCAGCCTCAGCTGTTCCAGTACAATCCAGAACATCTAGATATTGAAACGATGTGACTACATGGAACTATGTAATCCGTTCAAAATCAGGTAAAGAAAAAAGAATCTGTTGCTGTGTTGGCGTGGCGTGAACAGGAGACGTGTTGTGAGAAAGAAAGGGAAGAAGAAAAATAGGAAGAGGGGTGAAAAAATGTAGTGGGGAGGAATGGGAAAATTTTGTATTTGAACATTAAAAACAATATTGATACCAGTGTAAGCAAACAAATATTCTTTAGATTACACCATGGATATATATAATGCCATAAATTTAGTAATTTTACTAATCCCTTTTCTTTTTTAAATGTACTAAATATAGTATATAACATATAAAATGCTATACGAAATCGAATTTAAAACAAAAAACGAGACAAAAACTTCGCAAGCGATAATTTCAGATCAGACGATTAATCAAAGACGCTGAAGAAGACAACGACGATGCTTGATCCATATTATATCCATGGTTTACACCATTGGATTGACATTTCTCTTGAGTTTGAATCCTTTTGTTCCGTTCGGGCCTTTAGGTTGTCTGATTACTTCAACTAGTGAGCTCAGGCGCTCTGGTCTCGGTGGAACACTAGTTGTTACCTGTTTGTTGTTGAGATCTTTTCTAAGCAAGACATCTTCAAAAATTAGCGTTCCTTTCGGAATTTTGGTGACTCCAACTGCCACTTCATTGTTGCTTTTAAATTTAATGAGGAACTCGACGTTGTCCCCAAGCTTCAGTTTGTCTATCTCTCCCTTAAAATCTTTATAATGGAAGAAAATATCTTTCGCGATATCGGCCCTCTCTATAAAACCGTATTCGTTTCTTATGCAACGAACTACCCCCTGATAGTAAACTGAGGGTTTCCTGGACAGACCGATAGATAAGCGATGATTAGAAGCTCGTACCGTCCTTTCATCTGAATTGAACTTTTGCGGATTGCAAAAGTTCAGGGATCGACGTCGGTCATACGGTTTTCTTGTTTTTATTCCATCTTTTTTTAATTTTGCATGCTCATCCATGACTCGTGTATTTCTGACAAATAAATCATCCATATTTTTGAATTCAGAGGTGGGCGACGCCGTATTTTTTATTTTCTTTATCATTACCGCCACCGACTTACCAGTTCGGCTATCTACCGATTCTTGGAACTCCACTACGTCTCCCACAGCTAGATTATCGATATTTCCTTTATATTCACTGTTGTGAAAGAATAGTCTTGCAACTCTTTCAGTGCAATGTAGAAAACCGTATCTGGTCAGTAGTTTATCAATGACGCCCCTCTCACAATGTTCAACGCTATACATTTTCAAAGGTAATGGTTTAAGACGTTTGATAACTTATTTCTAATTTCACCAATCAAAATTTTGTTTTTCAATGTCGATACACCGGTTTATATAAAAGTCAAACAAAGAAAAATTTTATTGGAATGACTAACAAGGGCTTTACAACTCCAGATCTTGCAAAATTTTACAGCCACATCTTTGTCAACAAACTTTCACACTACTTTGATAACAACTGTGATTACGATATACTTGGACTAACGCAAATTCGTCAATTAGAGTAAAAATTATTTAACAACTCATTTCCGTTTTATGAACTGTTTTTATAAGCTATCATTGCAATAATGCATATCTCATGTTTCGTGTATGGAGCGTCGTTTAGCATATATTCCTATTCGATGTTTGTGCGTGTTGTTGAATGCCCTGATACTAGGAAGGCTGTAATAGACATTTATTGTTTTGTTCATGAACACAGCGTACGTTACAAAAATTTTAAACATATTTTCATTGTATTGAGATTTATTCATATGATGGTGCTGTTGTATTGTTTTAAACACTTGCTTGTCGTAACTTCATTCGTATGACTGTTTTAGTGACTTGGGCTATTTATTTTGAAATTCTGTTTTTATGTTCGCAATAATATTTGAAAATTAATCTCTGAATTGAAATAAAAAAAACTACTATGATTATAATTATTATAATATATAATTACATTATCCAACCAAAACAACATCACAGTGAAAGAAACAAACTTGAAACCAACTTAGACAGTTAAACACAAGCGAAACTAAACCACAAAACAAACGGATACAGACCCGCCAATAAATTCAGGAGCGCTTGAGACCTCACCCTATCAGCAGACAGAAATGAAAGAACATAACGCAGAAATGAGAAGCGAGAATTGAAATTCTAATTGCATGCAAGTACGTAAATCTGAAGCCACGAGCGATAAAAGAGAACAATCTTAGACAGAAACGTTCAGTAGTAAATCAAATCAGCGAAATGTTGAAAGTGCCGGCAGTCAAACCGCCAAACGTCATAAAATACAGTTAGATTAGATTCTTTTTTGACAGTAACAAAACTCACAACTAAATTAAACAACACACGACAACATAGAACAACAATCAGAAAACCAGCATACAACTTCGCATAGCCAAACAACAACACACAGTAGCAGACAATACAATAACAAAAACACAAACCAACACACAACAACAACTCATAAACAACATCATCACACTTTACATCATAATACAAACTTGTATGACATTCATATTACATAGCAAATGACTAAATTTGGTGAACAATTTTTTGATGAATTAAAAAACATCTAGTTTCAAATTAACTTGTAGTAAAAGTGAAATAATATTTATATTATATTATTATTATAGCGATAATATTTATTATAATATTAACATATAACAAAAAAACTACCATTTTATAAAATTAAAAATAAATTCATTTCAGGTTTCGCTTTTTTTTCTGATGGAGACAACGTGAAATAAAATGCGAAACATACAATTTCAGTTGTCCTTTGCCTTGTAATTTTATTTAGTCTCAATTTATTTTATCTAACTCGTTTTCAATGAAATAGTTTTGTTGCTCTTTATATTCCTTATCTCTAATTTCACATTAACATATTCACATCCTCATCGCCATAGTCGTCATCACCATCATCACCACCATCATCATCGTCATCGCCACGATAGGAAGTTTTTTGTAGCATGTGACATGCGCAATGATGATGATATGGTGAATAAGTTCACACCGAACTGACGAGTGCTTTTTTGGAAACTAATAAAGAGTAAAACACAGGAGAGAGAGAGAGAGAGAAAGAGAGGGAGAGAGAGAGAGAGAGAGAAGGAGAAAAAGAGGGGGGGGGGGGGAGGAAAATGAAAATTGAAAGAGAAATAATGTAACAGAAGAGACAAAAAGGAATAAGAGAAGGGGACGAAATACGAAAAGATATGAATGGAGCAGAAGTCGAAGGATTATAAAGGAAAGAAAAAAAAGAAAAACAAATTAAAAAATAGATCTATAGTTAGAGAAGAAGAAGATGCATTGAAGGAAAGATAAACAATGTGAATAAAAAATGTTGGTATAAACATTGAAAGTATCTGATAGCGCCGGAGTGCAAAATAATCGAAGTTTGATTGTTCGTTCGTTCGTTCGTTCGTTCATTCATTTATGGGATGCAATGTCCTCCACACTTTTCATGCGTCGGTTCGTTAATTTTGTTTATTAAATTCGAACAATCAAACAAACCAAGTAGCGAAACAGTTTGAGGATCGTTTGGTCTTTCAAAATGAACATTGAAATCACTAGCCACTGGAATATTGCAACTCCTTGAACCATGATTAATTAATTCGTCATAGAATAATGATAAAATAAGAGCAAATTTGAATTTGTCTACCTAATTGTTTCCAATACTCTTAGACGATAAAATCAATGAAGTAAAAATTCGACGTGATTTGATCAGAGTATTTCCTGTGCCAGGTAAATCAAAATCGCCAGGTGCAAAGTCATTTTCTAAGAAAGCTGTAAAACAAACACACACACACACCACACACACCCACACAAACACAAATAAACAGTGTAGGATAGGAGTGGATTTTTTGCATTCAATCCAGGTAACTAAAATTCAGAGCCAGGGTTGGCTGAATCATATTTAGTTCAAAAAACTGTTTAAATTTTAAAAAGTGACTTTTGGAGAAAAAAATATGGTTAGTTGATTTTATTAATACAAAAATATTCTAAAACATAATTCGTCAAAAACAAACACACATGAATCTTTGTCTCTATTTCATTAAAAATAATATTAAATGCCTAATAAACAAAACAAAATTTTGTTTAACTGACGCTATCTGACAGTATAATGTCGTAATGTTACGACGTTACGATGCTACGATGATTTATAGATCATTGTAAGACAAATAAGTGCAAGTTAGGTGCTCCGCCTGCTTCATTTGGTGCTCGTCCTCCACTCGTTTCAATATCCACTCATTCCCCCTATTGTAATGATAAATCAACAACCACTCCCCCCCCAACAGAACTTCAATGAAGAAACAGTAGCGGCATTGGTGCATGCGTGCTATTTAAGCACTGCTGCTTGTTCGGGTATTGCTCATTCAAGTACTCAGGCACCGTAGAGTTTTCAATTTCTGCTCGCCTAAGCACCGTTTATTCTTTCGAAAATGTCTTAGATGGATGGATGGAAAAATGTTCAGAGTAAGAATTTCAGCGAAAAATGTGCAGCACACGTTGTGAAAGTTTGGAAAAAGATAATGGCTTGAATTAAAAAATATTTTCGTCTTAAAAATCAATGGCTGTTTTAATGGATGTTGTGCAAATTTTTTAAATCGAAGTTTAATCTTTGGTGTCTGCTGGCATCATCGTTGCTGGTGCGTTCTATTAAAGTACAGTTCATTAAAATTTGCGAGTTACTGCTACAAACCAAACAAAAGTCCTTATAAATCTGTTATTTGTAAAATTATTTGTAAAATTAATGTGGCATAATTAAAAACAATCAACAGCATTTAAAACTAACATATAAAAATAGTGTATAGAATGAGTATATTCAGAGCAATTACTTCTTACACTGCCTTGGTGTCAGTGATGATTCGTCCGTCGATTTCGTCCCTGGATCCGGCCAGCCTCATCTCACAGACGAAGATGAAGTTCAAGTTGTGCCACCATCTCAATAACCAGCCTGTCTGCTGTTCAAATAAGCCTGCAAAAATCTTTCAGACCAGATCATCCACCGAGTGTCCTTCCATCTGCTCCCTCACAAACGTTCCAAATTCAAACCCCACTTCCCTGATTTCCAAGCAACCAACTCTAAATGAAATAAAAAATTTGGTTACACCTTCACCTGCCTAAGTGTACCCTCTTAGATTTACTACTCAGATTTGAATTACGTGAGAAATTATTCTTTCCAGTTCAAAATTCCGACAAATAGGCAAAACTTCACGATGCCTCGAACGCTATCCTTCCTTCAACCCTTCCAGGTCAGGACGGTTTGCACGGGGTCCAATTACTTCGCAGGGTTGGATCGGTGTGAGGTGTTTGGAGTTACGGGGAAGTACAGTGTGACCAAGAAGACGAGGGGTTGACAGGGGTGCAGGTTCTATCAGGTGGGTGATTAGTTCTATCTGCAAGTTGTGGTTGTTAATTTTTTGTGAATTACAATTCGAAATCTGGATGAGTTTGGTAAAATATTCTCCTACAACTAATAAAATTAATTCAATGCTTGAAGTTATTAAGAAAAGTTTATTTTTATAAAAGAGAACTGCTTTGTTCATATTGAGCGTATGATTACCGTGCTGAAGATAATTTCGAATGTCACACAAAAAGTTTGTTTAATTATTAAAATTTATTATCTCACAACTTGAATGTAGTCATTCAATCAAACAAGTATATCTGCCGTTTAATCAAATTTAAAAAGA